AGGAGAGAGCAACAAGGAGAGGAAGGAGATCGAAAGAAGAAAGATAAACACGCATATAAATAAATATATACATAACAAAGAGAAACGAAGTGGTTTCTCGAAATAACGGACGCAGAAAGGGAAAAGGGCCCTACGCGCACACGAGTCACATAAAAATCCATATAAAGTATACCTGTTCGTTGTGGAGTGCGCAATTTCTCGTTCGGAAGAGAAAAAATTCAGAGATAGTGGTGAGAGGAGGGTTCAAAGGTGTGTGTGTGTGTGCGTGTGTATTTAGGTATCGCACACGTGCGCGCGGCTCTTCGATTTCGAACGAAATCAAAAGAGAAAGAGAGAGCCGAGAAAGATTGGTAAAAGAGAATCGTGAAAAACGGAGCGGTCGTGTTCGATCGGGAATCGCCGATCGTGAGAGAAAATGGCATCGAGCTTTCCACCCTTCGCGTCGATGAATTGCCTGCTGAATGCTGCGCTTCTCGCATTCCTCGTCGTTCTTCAAACTAGCGCTAGTACGGACAAGACAAGCCTCGTAAAACCGCCTCCGTGTGAAAGGTAAGTACCAAATTAAGAAAAAACAAAGAAAGAAAGAACAGAGAAAATGACAACCGATTCACCGGTGTTTCGGTTCGGTTTTATTTTCAGAAGACAATCTTCCGTTCCGTCTGTGTCATATTCAGGCAACATACGATTCGATCATCGGTGACGATTATCGGAACGTAAACTGTCGTTTTGCGAGTTATTTTCCGTAGTTAATTACAAATTAGTTCGTCCCGATCAGGATCTCGGTTTGATGAAAATTGACGGTTACAGAAACTTGTTTTTCAGACAAATTGTAGCGTTTCGATCGTGATCAGCAGAACGTAACTGAATTGCTTTCGCGCTGTCGATTGTATTGTTGTTTCGTTCGCATGGGTATTGCTTGATGGTCGATTATCTTCGCTATTCTTTGTTAACTAGAGAACTCGTTGATTTCATGTCGAACGATTAGTTCGGCGTGAAACACGAATTTTGCGAGGAAAATGGAGGAAACGTGTAAATGGAAAAGAACAATTCGATGCGTACAAGAGCGAGGTTCAAGCCAAGGGACTGCTTTAGAACCTGGCTCTCGTTATCTGGCGCTGTTCGCATCGCGTCTACGATTAATGCGAGATAAGCCGGTTGGAATCGGTGCGTTGTTTATTCTGACTGTGTTTACAGAGTTAACAGGTTAAAGAACGAACTTCGCCGCGATTGCAACGCAAATGCGCACGGCGATCTCCACCGTCCTTCTTTTGCTCCTTCTCGTTCTATCTGTACTCCACAGCATGTCCCTTCGTCGGTTACTTCCGCGCGGTGTAGTTGCAGGGTCGAGGACAGGATCGAGGACGGGGTCGAGAACAAGGTCAACTGTTTTCTAGACTTTTTTGTATTCTAAGTGATTAGCTCTTTTCTTCGATTTATTAATTTGTCTTAAGAAAAAGTAGTATTTACCTTAAACAGTTTGTTTAATTTTACGAGAATTCAGACGTTTCATGGACAATTCATAGAAAATTGAAATTAACGCGCCTTAATAGTTCGTTAGGAATGTTCTAATTTCAGTGTTGTGTACTTGGCAAACAAATTTCTGAAATTTCAAAAATTTTCGAAAGTTTAAATTTTTTAATTTAAAAATTTTTTAAATTTTAGATTTTCGAAATTTTGCATTTTGATGGCATCTAGATGTGTCACTAGATAAAGTTTTCGTTACTCTGATAAAAATGCGATCCTGGCCAACTTTGATCCCAACTACGACCCTGATCCTCGCTTTTATCCGCGATTGAAGCCCATGTCCACGATTCGGTCACGAATCCCTGTGCAACACCGTGTCTTAGGATCGCTAGATCGCATCGCGGTACACCGACACGTGTTGCGCAATCGAATGACTCGTTGGAACGAAACGATTACACTCTAAAATGTCGCTGGGTTGTTTAGATCCTACGTGACATAATGTTTATCCGCGCGATACAATGACGGATGTGACAGCAAGCTTTTCCTTAGACATCGAAAGTTTTATTTTTTCTTGTTTCTTTTTTAATTGAAGAAGACATACAAGACTTTTTTTAGTTGAAGATGGAAAAGTAATTTGGCATATTTCATTTATTTTTTATCATTTCATCATACAATTATGGTGCATTAACTTGTGATTGAATAACTTTTTTAACACGTGACAGCTAAGTACTTTAGATCAAAGTGGATTGACCACTTATGGTTCTACTTCTTTACTTTGATAACGTTCCACATTTTTTGTTTAATTCTGTAACAATTCTTTGTATAAAATGTTTGTTCGTATACTACTATTAATCACAAGTATTCAAGATTTTCCTCAATTAATCGCTGAGGATTAAGTACGTCAGTACATTTCAATCTATACGAGGGTTGGATGACGGTTGCGCAATACATAGTTGGAATTTCGATACATCTGAGTCAGTCGTTAATTCCTAAAGTATAAGAATCCATTTACACCATGTTTGTTCCTACTGATATACTCTAATTACTATTCGCTCTACTTATGAAGAATAAAAGAAGACATTTTGTTTGTCTCTCACGAAATCATTCGGATACAAAAATACTTGCGAACAACCAAATATGAACAGTCACAAGCCTCGTCGTAATTAAACACTTTAGTTTAATTTCATTGTTTAAATACCTACATTATCAGATTTAAAAATAGTAACGTTCTGAAATTAACAAACTAAAGATAAAGATCAAATTAGCGACTTGAAAAATGATCTTCTGACTCATATTTTAAGTGTATGCGAAACAATGTTTCTCTACACTTTTTAACGATCTATATTATTTACGATGGCTATAAAGTCGCACGAACAGCGGTTCGTTGGAATTTTTCCAAAACTGTTCGTCGCGGTTGACACGTTGACACGTAAAATCGTTCGAGCAACAGCATCTCGCACGAGATGCCACGTGGGGTCGGGAACCGATGAGTTTCGAGCAGCTGATCGCACACGCGCTCGCGTCACGGGACGCGAAGAGGACCCGGCCGCCCACCGTTGACCTACGTCACGATCTGCAGAAATAGTCGACAACTCCTTCGAAATCTATACGTCCCCTCGGAATTCTTTTCCCACCGGAAATAGATCGTCGATCATCGGCCAACTTTCCGCAGATATTTTTCCCGCGAGCGTACGACCCTCTGAATCATCACTGCGTTCCGTGTCGTTGAGACGAAAGGTGCGAATACGCTGACAGGAAATTTGCGACACATTTTTCTGTTAGCTATTTGTAGAAGTGTTTTATTTTAGCAATTTTATTTTATTCCTACCACAAGTGAATTGAATTTGCTGCCAGGAATCTCAAATGCGTTCATACACGCCATGACAATCACTATACGAAATAGATGTCCCTAATCATTAACTAATGTGTCTGCACTTTTAGAAACGAGCGAGTCTGAGATTTCCAAAGTGACGATTAGATCTTCGATTTGATGCTATTATAGCGGTTTCTGCAAATTTTAGTTGCGCCAGTTAAATGCATTCGCATTTTCTATCTTGATTTAACTATTATCTTCGGGCGAATCTTCAGTCCCGATTCTCTCAAAAGAAAGAGAACGAACGAAACTATTTTATTTCGTACTTTTCTTTTAGAGTTGTCAGCTTCAAGACACTCTGCATATTTAGTGGTACAAATTAACAGACTCTTGTTACTTCGAACTCTTCTTCTGTTTGTTCCTTTTTCGGCGTTCTCTTAATCTTTACCGCACAGACATCTTTATTGCAATAGTTATTACTCGTTTAGTGTTCTAAGAATTCACGACGCGACACAATGTAGCTGCAATGGAGTAGATAATGCGGCACACGCAAGCGATATTCGTAACTGTTACGTATTCTTTTATCCTTGATGTTACACAGAACACCGTGCAGTTCTCGTAAGTGCTGTATACGTATATTCAAAATGCAACGTATGAATTTCATACAATTTCAATTAGTCAACTGCCCAATGTGCGACTAAAACCACACTTCCAAGATATTCAACGTTACTGGAACATCCCAATCGGACAAATTAAAATATTTTCGAATTTCAGTTACCGAAACACTTAATAAGTTCTTTTTCATCTTTTATCTTGTGGAGTAAATTTAGTAAATAAATATTTTACATGCAGTTATAACATTTTGTCTGATACACACTCCTTGCTTCATCTGCCAAACTGTCTGACCAAACTTTTCCAAAAGAAAATTCATTCGTTTTATTTCCATAATTTTGTATAGCTTAGTCACAGTATAAAAAGCATACCGAATTGTTAACACTAGAACAACCGAGCGTTCAACATGATTAACATGTAATTTATATAAAAATTGTAACAATAGATTATTTTCGTTTTCTTTATATACTGATTATAGTATTGAAGTGAAACTATTTATTTTTCAAGCCATTTCGAATATTTAACGCCTTGAATGTTTATAACGAACTGTGTTTCTTCGTAAAATAAAATTCAGCGTTTTATCAGCTAATAAAGTATGGTAACATTTCTTTTTTGCGACACTCTGTAGTTGCGAAATGAGAAAACTGAAACCCGTTATTCTGGCGGGTGCGGATGTTTTAGCGTTAAAGGTTGAGGAGTAGCGAAAACTCTTTTTGTTCCCACGGTGATCGTGGTCGCCGTATCGGAGAGACGGCCTTAACAGTGAACTATGATACGTCGCACGCGTCGCTCGGTGCGTCGGTGCTCATAAATTAACGTGTTCCGCAAGTACGATGAACGTGACCTTAGCGCAACGAGAGACGACGGGGTCGGTGGAGCGACGACGACGCGGACGACGAACGCGTTTCGAACGCGAATGCGTGGCGAGTTACCGCGATTAGCCTCGTTACTATACTTACAGTGTTTAGAACGCTCGTTCGTCCCCCATTTTGACAAATTCATACATTGTTCCGTGTAAAAGTTGAACGAGCTATGAATGTTCGTGTAATTCTGTAATCAATATTGGTATTAGATTCTTTACTTTTTGGTATCGAACATGGACAAATGCTCAATCAGTTTTTGGCCCTAGTAAGTAAGAAGTGAACATTTGATGAACATTCTTCACACATTTGGTATTTGTTGATAAACTTCGTTTTATTTATGAAATCCTTCGTTTCGATAAAATCATCGTTAGTGTAACATATTAATGTAATTCAGCTATGTTCACGACGAATGCGAAGGAAGGCTGGTATTATTTAAACGAGGCATGAGTTATATAAATAGTAATGTTCCTTACATAATAATTGCTCGATAGGTAAAAGACGATTAATTGTTACAAAATAGTTTTCTAATTATCATAAATGGTAATTTACTGAGTACGAAGGAATATTCGTTTGGCTTTAAATTTTCTGGAACTGAGCGGTAAACGGCAGTTTTTTTATTTTTAAACGTCAGTTTAATCTAAACATTTGAAAAAACGAGAAAGAAGCTCATGGTTCTTGATCCTCTTTTGTAATTGGCCGTTCTCGAAGAATATAGACTGGTATCAAAGTAAAAGTTCTTTGAATCATTGCGCATCTGTGCATCGGATGTTTCTTCTGTAAAAATAAAACGATACAATAATAACATGTGATTTAGATTTTCGTTAAGTGAGTCTCAAATTAGCTCCCCACAATTTGATTATTTCATCCTAAACAAAATAGAAATGTAAATTTTCATTCTTCTATGACGTAAGCAAGATCACAGATTCTGTGCGAGGATTCAAGTGTCAGATCCTGTGACATGATAACCAACCTGGAATCTAAATTGCTCGAAGATCTATCGTTTGTTACGACAATGTATTCGGCACGATCTCTTATCTTTAGCACAGTAAATACGAGCCACGAGCAAACACGAAATAGAGTAAGGAAGCTATCGCGGACACCAGTTCTGTGTGTACTCGCTGTTTCCAACCCGCAACAGGTGATACTCAATCGTCACCTAGCATTTATTCAGGCCAGACAATTCACGATTTCACTGGAATCTAGATTTGCGTTCGTCGTGATTCGTTGTAGTTCCAAGATCGTTAATTACTGATATCAATCATATTATAAATGACACGGTAGAAAATGTAGAAACAACAAGGAAACAAGTACATAGAAGTTTCATTGTAGTCGGTGCAAAGAGCAAACCATTCATCGATCAATAGTTCGAATAAATATCGTCATGCATTTCACAAGAAACTGTGTAATCGTCAGATCATTAAATTATTCGAAAGCTTATGACGTAATAATGTCTGCTATAAAAAAAATGTCATTAATTTCCCACTAATCGTGTAACGAAGAATTCACGTTCCGTTGATGATACGAGCGCGCGCCGATAGTCGTCGTGCGTTGAAAACAGTATTTTCGAGATTATCAGCGGTAATTAAACTGCAATTGACCCTGAATCGCTTTGTCTATCGCTCGCTGACGATAGCATTCAATCATCGTTGATATTTAGTATGTCAAAGAATTTCAGTGTAACAACGCGATAGCAATTCCCGTTTCTTTCTTCGAGTCACTCTGAAAAACGCAACGTAGAACCGCGAGTCCGTCGCTGTAATGGATATCTAAATTGCTCGCGACAAATATTAGGTCGATTAAAGAGGAGCCGAGCACGTTCGACACAATAAAATTCGTTCGAGCAGTTAGAATCGTTTCGTGACGTCTTCCGATCGTCGTTCCGGAGCGTTATTCTCGTGAAATTGAAAACGAAAACTCTTTTCCGTCGGAGAATTTCGAAATTCAATCGACATTAGTTGTATCATTATTACTAATAGGATAATTCTCCGTAGGTTTCACCAATTCCTTTGATGACTGCCGAAAGAATCTCTTAATCCCTTGCCGTGTTATTTACTTTCGTTACTAAGCTCGTGCAAAATGTTTCTATCAGCAGTTTAAAAGAAACGCAAAGAAATTATTCACTCCACTTTAAGTACATATTTACTTTCAAGATAATATATTGGCAATAGTCATTGTATGTCTATTAGCCATGGGAAAAGTTCCTGCGGTTTTCTTGTTGGCAATGAATTAGGGTTCAATTTCAATTAGTGTTTCACTAGTTTAATGAATAAAATTGATATTGACAGCAAATTATGTTAATGTCATTGGTATCAAATAATATAACACTATTCTAGAAAAACGTTCTCTGTGTTTGAATTTTGATTTAAGAACTCGCACGAACTTTTTTCGGTACCCAACACCTATGTTCGCTTTCCTTTTCATTAAATTCTCCTTTTCGCGATGATTTTTCTACGCAACATCCGCATTTCCTCGATAACAGTGCTCTGACCGACACGAGGACAACGCGAATGTTCTTTATTCATATGAAAAATGTTAAACAGATTGCGAAATTGTCCGAAACGAAATGCGTTGTGATAAACCGCCGATAACGACATTTACATCGATATCGGTGAAGGTCGAACAAAATCGGTGGCGATTTCGGTTCGTGGCCGTGTATTTACCCTGGCACCGAGGAACCTTATCTGTGATTATTCCCGTAATTAACATAACGAAATTAACAAAATGTTTGTTCAATATAAATCTATTGATTAATTGATCACATCGAATTGTTGAAGAAATAGCACGAACTTTAATCATATAAATTATATGAATTAATGAATAAATTTCAAATTCAAATCCTAGATAGTGGAAACGCTTGAATTCTATTTGTCGTTTTGATACCGGTTCGCGAGTAATTCAAGATCAGTCTTTAAGGTCTCTGTTCGGTATTCATCATTCCCACGATGATTTGTCTTGAATAAAGAATAGGCGATGTGTTCTCACCGCTGTTACAGAAAAAGTTAATGCATCGGCCGCGTTGTCGATCGGAAACTCGTGGCACTTACACAATCGCTTCATGGGCAATATTCATCTTCCACGAGAAGAACAGTTGCTCTATTCGCGGTTTCTGCTTCTTTTTTTTCTTCTCTTTTTGTTCCTTGAAACCATCTACTTCACACTGTTTGCAAGTATTTTTGTATGCGAATAGATAATTTCAAGAGAGACCAAACACATAAATACCCTTAATGAAATAAATCAATTTCGGTGAAACTTCAATACAGAACTTCAGCCGCCACAACAGATTTTTCATTGGAAATTACTCATTAACGATGGAATACGTGCTTATATTTCCGGAGTATATTAAGCCAAGAGTCTGGGACTATGATAGAAAAATGAGCCAAATCTATGAGTATTTTCCAATATGAACCCCTTTGTAAGAATCCCATAAGAAACGAATTAAGAAGAGCTTTAGCTGCTGTTTAAGCGGGTTCCTTCGACTCCGCGAACCCTATGACGATAATCGGGAAATGAACGAATTACAAAAATTAAAGAAACAAGAAGAATTTATGGAGTCGGAGGAAATGGAAACCGTAGAGATTGTATGTGGCTTTGCAGCAATATTTACTGCCATGGCGAGCTCTTGCACACGATACAGATGGCCTCGATCTACAAGGACTCGAAGACGTTCGTCGACATGAAGATGAAACAGTCGCCGAACCAGACGCTGCAGCTGTTCCGCGAGTTCATGGAGCAAGTGGACGAGATGCCGACCAGGCGTCAGATCGAGCAGTTCGTGAACAGAACGTTCGACCCGGCCGGGTCCGAGTTCGAAGAGTGGGACCCGGCTGATTGGACCAGTCGACCGCGGTTCCTCAACAAAATCTTGGACGAGCAACTGCGGAAATTCGCCTCTGATTTGAACCACATCTGGAAAATGTTGGGTCGCAAGATGAAAGACGACGTGAGGGTCAACGAGGACCACTACTCGATCATCTACGTCCCTAACCCAGTGATAGTCCCTGGCGGCAGATTCCGAGAGTTTTATTACTGGGATTCGTATTGGATCATCAAAGGTCTGCTACTCTCAGAAATGTACAGCACCGTGAGGGGGATGCTGTCCAACTTCGTCTCGATTGTGGACAAGATCGGCTTCATACCAAACGGTGGCAGAATCTACTACGCGATGAGATCCCAACCGCCGATGCTGTTGCCGATGGTCGAACAGTATTTGAAGGCCACGCACGATTACAAGTGGCTGGAGGACAACTTCCACCTTCTCGAGAAGGAATTTAACTTCTGGATGGTCAATCGAACGGTCGAGATCGAGATGGACGGTGAAACGTACACGTTGGCTAGGTACTGCGAGGCATCCTCGGGACCCCGACCAGAGTCCTACAAGTAAGGATCATCGCCAAAACTTAAAAGGTCTAGGGGTATCGAGCGGAGTCGGAAGATTTGCGGAGCACATGCGTGAGCGAGGTGTGGGGACTTGGCACTGCCCACTTCCTGAAGTTGCCTCGCGATTGGTTGAAGCATGAGCACTCGAACGATGCAATTGGTTCAGCTTGTACGTGTGTATTTTGTCTCCCACCTCTTATCTCGTTGGCTCCTCTCAGAATCTTCGATTTCGCTCGGTGCACCTGTACGCGCGTCTCGTTTCGTTTTCCGATCCGACCGTTTAACAAGATGATTTTCATCAATCAGAGAGGACTATCTGACCAGCCAAAGTTTCCGCACCAACGAGGAGAAAGAAAATTATTACACGGAGCTGAAGACTGCCGCCGAATCAGGCTGGGACTTTTCCACGCGTTGGTTCATACTCGATGGCACGAACAAAGGTAACCGACCGCTCTATGCTAGGGTTTAGTCTACTTTTTGTTGTCGGTTTATCAAAATAGAATCAGCTGATAGCTAAGAATATTTGCGCGTTTAACTCTTAACTACCGTTGCTGTTTGGTCCCCGCGTTTTAATCAAGAATAGAAGAATATTTAGCAAGTACTAATAAGGGTAAATATTTTCCCGAAATTAGTCGTTCTTTTCTTACAATTTCCTGGATTGCTAAATTTAAAATGTCCAATTGCGATCGAAGAGTCGTGCGTTTGAGGGTCAAAGGAATGCGGAAAAGTGATATCACCGAAGTATCAACGCGATTGTCCGTGACTGCGTTTCCCGTGTCTTCCTTAAACTATTCCGAAACAAAGGAAGTCGCGTTCATCGCCGCGCACGCCTCGAGAAACTGTGTCGGCAATTATTGTGCCACGCGTTCCGTATTGTCCCCGGGTATCTCGCTGGAGATATCACGATCGGCGGCGTTCAAGGCCCTCGACCGCCCCGTTTCTCAGGTGAAAGCGGTGGCTCCGCGTTGGTAAAGACCGTGTTGCCGCCCTTTGTGGAGCTGAAGCTCATTATCATTCAGCGAAAATGAGAGTTCCTGTCGCGCGGACCCTTCCAAAAAGCAAAGAATGCTCAGAGTTGAACGCTGCAACAAGAAGAGAAAACTAAACCGACAACAAGGAACGTAAGAAGCTTAATTTCCCAGAAAATTCGACTTCAAGTTCCGTGAAAATTGAGTATTAGAATTTGGCAGTAATCCAATACCGAATTCGCAAAAAATTAGATTCCACATTTCGAGAAACATTGGGTTTCGCGTTTTCAGAAAATTAAATTCCAAGTTTCGAAAGACATTGAATTCCAACTTCGGAGCAAAATAAATTCTCAATCTCGAGAAACAATGAGTCCCGAATTTACAGATAATTAAGTTTCGAAATTCAAGAAAGTCAAATTCAAATTCAAATCCACGCATTGCACCACTCGATTTCCTCTATTGACCCATTGAGATTTAAAGCAACGAGTTGCATCGGACAGGCAGGTGCGTGTCGCAACATACTTCTATGGAGCTCTTCCCCCAGGTAACCTGACGAACTTGAAAGCGAGATCCATAATCCCCGTCGATCTGAACGCGATAATCTATGGGAATGCGCAGCTGATGGTACAGTATAGTCTGAGGATGGGTAACGAGTCGAAAGCAGCGTACTACCGGAAGATCGGAGAGGAATGGAAGAGGGCGGTGACTGCTGTGCTCTGGCACGACGAGGTTGGCGCCTGGCTTGACTATGACATCATGAACGACATCAAGAGGGACTACTTTTATCCGACGAACATCCTGCCGCTCTGGACCAATTGTTTCGATCTTCGGAAAAGGGAGGAGTACGTCGCTAAGGTGCTCAAGTATCTCGAGAAGAATCAGATCATGTTGAACCAGGGCGGCATACCGACCACATTTGAACACTCCGGAGAGCAATGGGACTACCCGAACGCCTGGCCTCCACTGCAGTACTTCGTCGTCGTAGCGTTGAATAACACCGAGGACCCGTGGGCCCAGAGACTGGCGTATGAAATCAGCCAACGATGGGTGCGCAGCAATTACAAGGCGTTCAACGAGACGCACAGCATGTACGAGAAGGTAACTAGGGTTGCGATGTCTTTGAAATGATTATGGATGCCTTGAACCCTTGGACGAGGGCCGAGTTTGAACCAAACTGAAGTATTTCGGTTCCATTAACCCTCGTGCTAGGTTTAAGCGGCGGTCAATGTTCGAGTTTAATCGAGGTATCATTCTTTGTAGTGTATAGTGACGTTTGTAGATGACGCAGGTAAGGTATATGTATTTAGGAATATTCGAACAGCATTTAACTATTCAGTGAATTTCTCGTTTGAGTGGAATTAACTGTATAAACTGCACGAGGGTTGAAGCTTACAGTTGTCTTCTACGATTCTGCCAAAGATTTGTAGAATTCTGCGATCGTGATTTAAATATTAAAAATGTCCTTCGATCGGGGTTGGTGTGCCGAGTGGAATACATGGTGGACTCAGAAGTCAAACATGCCAATTTACACAAGTGTCATTTCCATTGGAAACATTTAAAGACTATTTCTGTTATTCAAACTTTCGGTTAATGATGCAGTCACGTTGCTACCTTTGTACTTAATTCTGCAAATTCGTGTAAAATGTTTACACTGATTGACTTCTGAGTCCCCTAAGAAGGAGGTTCGACGAGCAACGAACGGTTTTGATTTCGGTTCGCAGTACGACGCGACCGTGTTCGGCGGTTACGGAGGCGGAGGCGAGTACGAGGTGCAGTTGGGCTTCGGCTGGTCGAACGGACTGATTATGGACTTGCTGGACAAGTACGGTGATCGGTTGACGGCCGAGGATCATTTCGTGCCGACCGACGTTATGGAGAGTGCGGCGCCTCAACCCGCGGTGGTCGTGTCGACGGCTGGTCAGTTGATGACCGGTATCCTCGCGCTGATAATATCGCTGGCCGCAGGATTTATAGGGTGAGGTGAGTGTCTAGGTGATCAAGAATTGTTTCATCCTCTTACGTGCGGTTTGGATTCACTGGTGGATTCGACTCAACTTTACATCACGCGATAGCTTTTTGTTTTGGAAAATTTATTCGCGTTCAACGTTGGACTTCTTTAATGCTAGAGCTACCAACTGGTCAGAGTGATTTGTTCTTGGCTCCTTCTTTTACTGTTATTGAAAAGATAACAGATCCTTCTCTGAGAAATGATTAAACAAGTTGATTTCACAATAAGCAAACTGAAATATGTATCGGAACTTCGCTAAATGTAATCTTATAATTCCTATAAACTGTCAAGAGAAGTCAATTTGATTGCTAGATGGTTCTAGCGTTAAAGAAAGACCACTTAGAACTCATGGGAGATTCGTCAGTAAAACGTGTACAATTCATTGGGAACGATTTAAGATTGGAAAATGATCTGTGTATAGATTTTGAAACGTAGATTCTAGTGAAATCGTTGCGATGGCAGTTGAACGTTGCGGTGTCAAGGTTGAACAGCGATCGTTACACCTTTCGAACATGAAATAATGCACGCTTGTATTTCTTTTCTGTTTCAGATATCCTTCTTCTGGTCTAACGCGTCTAGGCGGAATACTCCCGCGAAAGGAAAACCGTTATGTCGGTAGAGAATCGCGCGTTTTACGTGATCGCGTTACACTTTTGGGTCGCGGTGCATAGAGGATGCAAGCTCATCCTCTAACCGACCTAAGCTTATCCTCTTTGCTTTGGCTTAGCTCGGTGACCGATCGACGGTAATCGATTAACGAAGGACCAAATGAAAGCGAGTGCAGGCACTGGCAAGGCTCCAGATAAAAATATATATATATATTTTTTTCTTGTTAGCTAGTATTACTTAGCAAAGCAGAGCGACTCGGTCCTACGAAGGAGTCGGACTTTCACGGTTGTTCCTCTATCTTCTTATTGACTCCTGCTTAAAATCATGTACAAAGTCTACCGAACGTTAGAGATGACGAGGAGAAGAGAGTAGTTAGACTTGATCACTTCACTTACTAGTATCTTATTAGCAGACCTCCAAGTGTCTGTGCTACTTTGGAACCAAGCTGAATAATCACGCTTTAAGTAACAACTCTTGGTTCACAATTATAATAGTTATTGCTACTGAGAAAGCACAACTTTTCAGAGACAAAATTCTGCCTCTGTTCTAACGCCTAATATTATCATTTATCATTTATTGTAGTGAAACTACGATAGATCTGATAACTTATCCCCGTAGTAGCTCACGTAAGACGATCTCTAATCCTCGGTAGACCTGCACTCTGCTTTGCTGCGATATTGTCGGCTGTTGCCGACAATTGATCAGCCATTCGGCTTCGACCGTCAGGATACCGGAACGTAGTCCGATGAGCTTGTAGAGCTTAGAACGATGGTAAAACCACAAGCTTGGAAAACGAAGGAAGCAATCTAGACAGACGCTGTAACATAAGATCCTTCGCGACAACTCTTTGCGCAGGATTACAGCGCAGGGTCTTAGCTTGATGTTCTCTTATTCAGTGGGATTGCCAATTTAAAAAGACCCGGAAAGCCTGACCAATTATTCCGTCTACCGCGTTCTCGCGGTGAACACGATACGAGTATTATTACTTAACCATTCCATTTGCGGGTGATGATCCGTCGTTTCGGAGGATAATAATTCTGTGATCTTTGTGGGACCTCATCGCTGGTCGAGTTTAACACGTTCCTACGATTACCAATTTTATTATTTTGCCGCCGGGTTCGAGCACACTCCGCCGACGAAAGCCTTAGAATTCGCTTTCAGACGATCTTTCCGGTCGTCTCGCGAGAGCGCGTGCGGGTTTGGCCATAATCGTTGTTAGTATTACTAGAGTAACCATTGCCGTGACGAAGCAGCGAACTGGGGCGAGAAACGAACAGACGAGCTTATTTCAAATGTCCGTCCTTATTTCTGGGCTGGGTCTTTGTCGTGGACGGAAGAAGCGAGGGTGATTCGAACGTTTGCGATGCGCGCGAATTGAAGCTGTCGATCAAGGGACTACACAGTCGAATCATGGAAAATCGAAGTACTGCTTTGGAATTCATTTTAAAATTAATTTTGCGGGAACGTTCATCGATATCATGCCTAAATCTTTTGATGACACACACAATCGGCAACAGACCAACGTATTCATTCCTTTATTCTTACATGTAGCTACCACCCCTTGGCTTGTAATTATTTACATTTTTTTCTAGCAAAGAAATTGACAATGATTTCTCTATTACGCAGTCGATCTGCAATCGCAGCGTGATCGATTCATTTTTCTTTCAATCTCCTGTTTATCCAAAGATCTTCTGTTAGTCTCATCCCCGCCGAGTTGAAATATTACATTGAAATAATAGTTTCTTCGATGGAATTCGAAATTTACCCCTTTCTTCATGACAAGGCATCGCCATTGGCACCGCGTCAACGTCGTATACCTCTCCGTCACCGTTAAACTGTACGTCTCTGGTCCGATGCTGCGGCGTTTTTACGATCGACAGCCTTTCGTAACGGGTCGATCGAAGGTGTGCTCACGATTCGCTTTCGATCGAAACTGGCACCGAGCGCGAAACGGCGAATCGGGGCGAGCAGCGGATGCATCTAGTCAGACCTAGACACCAAATGTGCTTACATCGCGTTCCGATGAGCGGTGTACAGCGACCTGAGAACCGCCAAAGTTGCTGCTCCTCGATCGCTAACAGTTTCCTACGAACGGATCGATCTCGCGGACGAAAATATACGGTGAACACGAAATAAAGCAGGATGGAACGTACAGGATGGACATATACAAATAATAACAATTACTATCATTAGTATTATTATTATTACTATTATTATTATTACTATTATTGTTGCTTTATTATTATTATTATTATTATTATTATTATTATTAATATTATCGTTATTACGATTACTATTATTATTATTAATATTATTATCATCATCATTGATTATCGCGGTTATTATTATTGTTTATTATTATTATTAATGTTATTATTATTATTACGTTGACTTACAATAGCGTCGCGTTTCTCTGAAATCTGAGACAATTGCGACGATTATAGAGTAAGCCCGGTTTCTCTGGGTATGCGAGTCTCATGTGGAACACAGTTGATCGTTATATATTTATTAAAGTGTATATAGAGAAACAGATGATACAGGCTCGTTATTAGAAAATGGAAGGTAGCGTGAAGAGATTGATCATGGACTACGATCCGTTGGAAAAAAAGAACATCATTGTCGAGGATTTGTAACAGGAACCGGTGACGTTCTTCTCCGACAATGTATATATTTACACGTATACATACACACATACATACTCCCTCCGTTCGTTTGATCCGCCTGTGTGCTAACTTTTAAATAAAGTAAATAAATCAGAAACATCTTATCCCCGACCTGATTCCTCGCGCTTCAATCGTCCCGCGAAACGTTGATCGCCAAAATCCCGGCCCAACAGCACGTTTCGCGAAATAAAGGATCCTCCATCCTTGTATGCATGAGTAACAACATGTTTGCCTGCGTTGTTTGTGTGCACCTGTGAGCGCACGTGTGTTTGTCAAACGTCGAAAGAACGAGTACAGTGACTCGTGCCGTGATCGCAGAGAGTGGATTGTGCTCGATAGAAACGCTTCTTGGGTATCGGATTTGAATGAAACGCTTCGGGCTAACGCTGGAAATACTATACGAATAAGAATTACCCATTTTGGATTTTTTCTTGTACGATTATCGAAAAGGCTTTTACAGCTTATACAAGGAAATACACATTAGGCACTTCGGCTGCTCAGTAAGTCTAATGTTACAAGAACCTAAAGTCACTATACTCGTTTCGACGACAGTAATACCTACACCACAAAAGTGTTTAACAAAAATCCCGGTCATCGAACTGCGATACACGTAAATTGGGAGAACCACATTGCCCAAGGTGACATTTTGTTTGTTCCCCTGTTTCTTCGCGTCGATCGAATGGATAAGCGATACTCTCTTCAGCAATTCCTTTAGCGTTTCAATGTACCTCTATCGCATAGGTATCCTCAGTCGCATTGATTCTTTCATCTCTTCTCAGTCTCTATTTTTCCTCGTTTTACTCATTGTCGACCGGGATTCGTAGACAACGATCATTGCTAATACGCAAACTCATCTTCCCTTGAAGTAAAGAAAAAGAGAAAGAAACCAGAATCCTTCAGTCGAGGTTCGAATCGATCGTGAAATCTATTAATCCGATAGAGAAACCGGGAAACGATCGAAGGTCGTCGGGATCGATTAACGTGCGATCGAGCGGTTTCGTTCGAAAGCAATGTGTCGTGATGTAGAGGATCTCCATTGAAAACGGTGAGCTTGGGTTCGCATGGGAACGAGTTATTCTTGGTCTTGTCCTTATTTTTATGGAACTCTCGAGACACGCAACGGCTTCGTCGATCCCTTCGGCTCAATAACGAACCGATCCACGCGTTGGCGGAGGGGAAGGGGGAGATCGGTTGGATCTAGACGCTTCACTGGTTCCTGTAACGATACGGCGAGACGGCAAAGCCAGTGGCGCCACGATCAGACGCTTGTTTCGTTGGCCTGGGCCAAGGCTAAACCGTACGCGATAGCTGGCGACTAGATAACGCGAATATTTGTTGCACAATTCCTTAGATTAATGGGAAAAAGGTGATGCTTTGAATGGGGCTGTTGGGATAATAAATATGCACTAATTCTCCGGTTTCTATGGCTTCAACTGTTCTGTTTATTAGTTCCGATACTGATAAGTCCATGTAACTGAAATTCTGCTATTACATGTATTTTCTTTAGTCTCGTGCCTTTTTAGCTTTCATCTTCCGATAGAGGGGCAAAAATAAGATATGTCACGTAGCCTTGAGTTCGGATAATAGGAGTTTAGTTCAGTTGTTCGATAAACCGAGTACTACAATATGAGTTTGGATAAATGAATTGTATTGTGATTGGAGTCGTATTTGCAAACGTATTACGTCAAAACACGTCGTCTTTTAATTGGCTCGTGTGAGCTTTACACGCGTGGGAGGAAAATGGTGTTCCACCGTACACGTTACACGTTTTTTCAAGAAAGACAGAAACACAGTTTCTTATGATTGTAAACGAGAAAATACACTTCCTTGTTGTTATGGGAAAATTCCAAAAAGGACGTGATAGCATTTTGAATTAATAAAGTGACATCATCACGAAAAGTTCGGTCGTCGTTCAATAACGTGAAAGGACGGTCATCTTCTTCTCGTTAATCCAGAAACTTTGTGCAACGAATAAAACGTGTTATCTTTTTGACAGGTGCCGTAGGTCTAGAGGTCCCTTCAAGAATCGTATGTTTTCAGGACACGCGTCCGGAGAGAATTGATTTCGAAAGAGGACCTTAGCTAACGGCGCTGGATTAGATTCCAATATGCCGTAACTCGTTCAGTTTTTCGCTGGATCCAGAGCGCACTGGCGAAGCTCTGTGTGTCGCGTCGCTAGGTTTGCCACCTCGATATATTGTTACCTCAAGGTACACTACCGGCCGAAAGTTTTCATTCGTTCTGCCATACACAACACTACACACATGCACATGAACAAATCCTACGGAATGATCGATAGTTAACAGCCCGTGTGAGCAAGGTTTAGCGGTGCTCTTTGAAAGTTATAAAATATAGAGGATTCCGGTATAACAAGTATTTGTTATTTCTTAATTAATTCATTATTTGACTTGAATTAAGGTTCTGCAATAAAGCCAGATTCGAAACTGACACGTGTCTCTGCGATCATCGCCATTAGCACTAGCGCTTGAAGATCCGTTTAAAACGCGTGAACGTGCCGACGCTCGTACTCCATATACCGAGTGTACCCGAAGTAACTATCTTCGTGACATATTGAAACAAAATATATGTTTATGCAACATATGTTGAAATTCAAATTGCAAAAGTGTTTCCGTAAGAACTAAATCGAATAGAATGTTTTTTAACACTAGGACTACTGAACAGTCGAATTGGTTTCTTTAAATTTTTCCATAGAAATTCTCAGAGGTTGTTGAGGTTTCAATTGATACATAATTCAGACTGTGTATTACTAAATCAGTTCCTTCGTTCGTTTCTTAAAGGAGCAACTGCTACCTTTTTGATAATTGTGAAAGAAGAATTTGGGAATAGGATGTTTCGATCCGTTTGGTAGTGCTAATGTTGAGGATCTTCAAGATCGTCGAGCAAATCGGAACTTTTGGCAAGCAGTGTGCACGCAAGAACACGCGAATGGGCGTAACAGGAACACATCGTTCAACCATTTGACGCGTGATCCCGCGTTTTCAAGGATACACTCGTTCCTTGGCCGCTGTCATTGCGCGTGAGATCGTTGTAAGATCCCGGGAACGATTGCTTTTTCGAATGCGCGGACACGAGGGAACAGACGTTACGTCACTTTCCGGAGCACTCCGAGGAGAACTCGCGGAATTGATAGAAAATTTTGCTCGGTTCTACGACGAAACTCGCTTATCGTTTTTTACAACGATGATAACATCGCGTTACGATTTCTTTTTCCGTTCGTAGCCGGTTTATCTGAAACATCAGGCTCATTTCGCGAAATAACGTTGCATTACAACGTTAACTTCACTGTGCAACGCGTACTTCGTGTTGCAATAGCTCTCCAGTGATTCTTAATCGTTCGTTCTTCAGTTGCTATCTGGAAATGTGCGTGTAGCCGGTATATCCTGCTGTTATAATAAATGAAACTATGGTTTTATGACTGTAGAATAAGTGTGGGTTAGCAACTTTGTTCCTAAATTCAGCGATTTTGAGAACCACTGCATTTACTTATGGATAGTTCTCGTGGATCTGTACACGCTGAGATGAATAGGAACTTGTAAACCATTTCTCTTTGTCGCGCACGGTTCTCCAGATATTTGATTTTTAGAAAAGAATTAAGTTTTCAGAATTATAGATTAGACAATCGTTGACTGTTAAAGCTATAGAAACATTTCTCGCGAAAAGTGATTCTACAGACTCTCTGAAATAAAATTTGAAATATATACGTAAATAAGTTTAAAGACTTTTCGATTGCAAATGTATTTTCTAGTTGAAGTTGAGAGCTTGTAGAGAATTTTATCGTCAGTATAAATGACAAGGCGATTGTAAATGGAGGACGAGCGAACATGATGGCGCGACGTTACGGACAGCAAAAACTATGTCACGAGAAATGTAGATACCGGTGTTCTATTAAAAAGGCTCGAAATAATAGGCTAGTTCGACGTGTTAATAGTACATTGGCAATTGCTTAATGGGACGGTGCGGCTTGATTTACAGAGCAATCGGGCGATCGATGTTAAACTCGAGCACACAAAATGAGGTTTCCACGGTCAGGTTGATTTGTTTCCAGTGAAATATTGTTTAATGGATTCAGCGTCGATACTGCGTAAATACTCGAAACCGTTTTCAATCTTTCTAATGGCTGCAAACACGATGCGCTGTGTCTATCTCGAAATAAAATTTATATGCATGTTTCGCGCAGGAAATGCGTAATTTCTTGGAAGCGTTTAGCAACCTTGTAAAATTAAAACGCTCATAAAGCATAAAATAGGTTGCAAACAGTAGTTGCAATCATTTGATAGCAATCATCCTTTATTCTCCATAATTTGTCAGTAAAGAAAGTAAAGAGGTCATATTAAATATTGAAAATGATGGAAAGTAAATTAAGAAGCAAAGCTACTTTATTTCAAAATTCCATGTATTGATGCATTATACAAAGTTTAACGCGAAATATCAAACTTCATTATTTTACTCTATTACGCCAAGTGATAATTGAGTTAACGAGGGTTCACCAATCTCTGACGACTACTCATGTTTACAGAATGGTGGTGTACAAGAGGCGGCATTACTACGTGCCGGGGCCGTCCACGATGCCGAACAAGAGGACTGTGATCGCGCCTAACAGCAACCTCTACCGGAAGAGGATCGCCTACACCGAGCTGAAAGACATGAACAACGATTGACGATGCTTGTTGCTTAGAGGATCGATTCGTTGACCGACTGAAGCAACAGATGAACAGGAATTCAAATAGCTGGAAGAATATAGTTAGGGCAATGAACACATCGCGGGGAGAAGGAAAGGGCGAGAGAGTTGTCCCGCGTGGCCAAAGGTGAAAAGTGTGCGAGGTGACGAATAGAATTGGCCAGTGCTCTTTTGACCACTCGCCTGGCCTCGAACTGAAGTTTCGGGGCGAGCGGTCCCTTCGATTCGCTGAACCTCGTCGCAGACACTCGAAGAGGATCGCCGAGTGAACCTACCTTACGTTTCCGAGGAGAGCGTCTTCTCTGTGGAAAAGATAAATGTTGGCCAGAAGAGCGCCACCGATAGCTGTTTATCCTTTTCTTAGAGAGGACCTTGAGATAGCTAATACGTTTCATACCCCACTAACGTAAAAACTGGCTGTAACAGTCGGGTCTAGGTGAAATGTAATCTGATTATGCATCAAAATGTTCATGCACAAACACAACGAAACATGTGTTAATGAATTGTAGTTAACAATAATAGAAAATTGACTGGTAAAATACTTGAACGGTTACATTTGAATGGTCCTTGTCAATGCGTGACAGGATTACATTTCACAAGACTTCATCATATCACTGTGCACTATCATCCGAGGTTTGCCTGAACTTTTGTAACGTTTTGTAATCCGTTCCTCTGTCGCCTCTGTCCTCTGACGTCACTTAGAACATAGCGATAGTGGCCAGACAGCTTTTTTAGCGAGGGAATCCCCTAACTCTCAGCGAGAAGAGCCATTCTTGTCCCGCTTCCTAGCAAAACACTTACCTGTACGTCCCCTTAGGCGATACTCTCCTCAGAATCGTATAGTAGACAGCGTTGTCGCAACGCGCTCGCGCGATTCTCCGACGCATCCAGTCGGCCGAGGAAACTAAAAGTTCCTACGCGTCACGTTATTCGGCCGAATGCGCCGCGGACGCATCCATTCCGTCCTTCGCGCGTCTTCGCTGATGTCAGTGCTATCTGACAGCGCTTTCACGCGAGCGACCGCTGTCACGTGCGCGTGACAATCGTCCAGCGCCCATCCGACGCGAATGCACATGTCGATAGGCGCTTCAGTAAACGTTAATTCATATTCCGCTCACGGCCGCTTCGTACGAACGATTGATTGGTCTTCCCCGACGGTGGAGTTTCTTTCGAGCGAGAAAAATTGGTTCGGAGTTCAACTTTTAAAAGGAAGTTTGAAGTTCAGCTCGCAAGAGACTGATTCTTCTTTGTCGAAGGTAAATGAATTAGTTAATGTTTTTTTCAAAATAGAAACTCTTCAAGAACGCTTGGAAAAAGTAATTATTAGGTCACACTATAAGTAATGTATCGTATCTCACTTTATAGGATATTTTTTTAATGTTATTTCGAAAATATCATTAAAAAATTAATCGAAGAGTGGGAACAGGTTATACACGACGGTAGTCGATACGTTGATAGTTCATAAAGAAATGTAAATATTAAATTTTTGCATTAAAAGTTAGCATAAAGAAACGACGTGTCTTATGGGATGACCTGAATAAATCGTTTCGAATAATGAATTAAATTTGAGAGTCTAATAGCCAATTGGTCTTCCGAATAAATCAAGAAAATGGTGTTTCATGAGCATGATGAAGGAAACTGCGAAAGGAATCCATCAACTCACGCGCACGTCATAGTTTCGCGAAATAGGAAGGATCGAATCGATGCTCCGCCGGAGGCAAGCTGATGCAAACATTCGCGGCGGCGAAACGAATAAACTCACCGGACAATAAGAGTGAAGGAAAGTCGGGATCGTCGTTGATTCGAGGCGCGAATCGAGGCCGTGATAGGAAACGAATGGAGAACGCCACGCGTTCCCATAGGCGAGCTTAGACAATTAATAATAGAGTCACGACGCTATAGAACAAATTAGCGATGGAAATGTTGTATTTTTGCTGATATTTTTGTAAGGGAATCCATTCAGCCTGCATGCTTAGATCATTGTCGATGACGGCAACCGGCATCGTGCGCCGCATCTGTGTACTGCGCAGCGCCGTTACGTTTTCGGACGATCTTAACACTAGAACTACCAGATTGGTCTAAATGACCCGTTCCTGAATTTTTCTTTTACAATTATCGAAAAAATAGCAAATACTTCTCCGAGAATTTACTAAAGAAATTGATTTAGTAACGTACAAACCGGATGCGCAATGGATACACTCTTAGGGTTTCTGTAGAAAACTTTCAAAAAGTCAGTTTGATTGCTCGATAGTTCTAGTGTTGACGCGTCACCTCGCTCTGTTCATGTTTCTCTTCGACATCCGCTTCCGGCCTTTTTTTGTACTCGATTATTCTCGAACGCCGAGGCTATCTCTAAATACTTGACGCTGTCTATTCGCGTCGATCGACCTCCCTTGGCGCAACAGTGATCGCGATCCTGTGCACGATGCGTTGCCGTCTCGGAGCGTTCTACAGGATCCCTAATAAATGATCGATACATTTTTCACTCGTTGTAACTGGACTATATCTTAAGTTGTGGAATTGTGACTAGTGCCATTCGAGCGATAGACTTTGAAAGTTACATCCACGCGAAACGTAAAGGTTTCCTCTATGAAGGACGCCATCTTGAGAAAGTATCTAATATGTTTCACTTTGTACACAGTTTTAGTATTCTTTGCAATTTCCTTGTACTTTATCACCGGAAGTGTATCAATCATTTGAGGGAGGTCTGTATTCAGCTCAATCCACTTCGGTACAGTTTGCAACACCGTTCCTCATGGAACACAGAGAAATAGAG